ATGTTAAGGCTGAAGGCGTGTTACAAAAATGAATATAGCGTTAAAAATCGAAAAAATTGAGTCGTGGGCACATATCGACTGATTACAACGGACATTCCGGAAGTCCGTGCACCTCATTCTTAGTTTTTGACGTCCGTCGTACCTAAAGACGCTTTTAGAAAAAGCGAAACATTGTTGTACCGAAATTAGAAAAATAAAAATATCATTGTGGATTTATCCTTTTTTATCCTATTCGTGACCAAGTTGAGAAGATTCTAGTAATAAACAAGGTGTGTTTGTTCACGTGTACGTTTATATTTCTTAAAGGCAGCATTTTTTACTTTTATCATCTTTTTAATATTCAAGGTTATCCCAGGTAAAGAGTTTTTCTTTACAACTCGAGTAACAATAGGGGCATAAACATCAAACAAAGCTAATAATGTTTCATTAAAATAATTAACTTTCTCATCAATAGAGATTAACTCAAAAACTGTTTCCCAATTCATCCTGTTCAAATCATTATTAAAATCCTCGATATTAATATTACGTAAGTCCGATAGGTAATCGTTTTGGGAAAAGGAATGTTTTTTTCTATCATAAGTGTACAGTTAACCAAAAAGTCTCCAAAAGACCCTCCGATACAAAAACTAGATCAAATAATGATTCAGAGTCACCCGAAACTCTAGAGTATCTACGGAGAAATGTAGTTTCAAAAAAATGGTTGTCTTTATGTCTTGCAAAAGGACTGTTTCGAATAAAGATAACCTAAAGACAAAATTTAACAAAAGGAAATAATAATTTATTTATTATTAATTTTATTGCATTATTTCCTTAAAACTAAAGCAAATGCTCAAATTATAAGTACGAAGGCTTTCACGGCCGGTGTTAATTAAACTGAAATTAAATAATAGTAGTGCTATCACTAGAACTAACACTAGACCTAGAAGGTTTCGAGTTAAGCCGTGCGTCTTTTGAAAAAGTGTTTGACGTTTCGGATGAAGTCACTTTGAATTTGTTTCTGAAGAAGATTGCAACATGCATCCGAAACATCAAACACTTTTGTAAAAGACGCAAGGCTTAACCCGAAAGGTTCTAGATCTAGTACTCGTTTTAATGATAATGCTAATATATTATATAATAATTATATAATATATTATGATAATGATAATAATTGTTAGTTCTAGTTTTAGTTTAAATGTCCAAATTGTTTGCCGTCGGCACTAATAGAGGGCGTTTTTTTTAGCCAGATAGAACTTCCGAAAGGGTTAACTGTGAAACGAACTGTGAAACTCACTTTTTGATATTTATGATCAGTATACTCTGGCAAATCATCATGAACAGATTGATGCTTGAACAACGCTACCAAATTATCCAGATTTACTTTAAAAATCAGTCATCAATATATAGACGACTTCGTGATTTGTATGGCGCACATAATCGTCCATCTGAACAAGCCATTCGTCGAACTGTGAATAGATTTCATACCACATACTCTCTAATTGATGCAATAATATCAACACGTCGAAAAAATGTGCGTGTTGAAGAGAATATCGCCGCTGTAAACGAAAATGTGGAAGAAGATTCAAATTTATCGATTCGTCGTCGGTCGCAGGAATTAGGGCTCTCTCCGTCCACTACGTGGAAAATTTTGCCCAAAGATCTTGGCCTACACCCGTTTAAGATCCAGCTGGTGCACAAGACCATCATATGCGTCGTTCTTTCGCCGATTGGACTCTAGAGCAGTTGGAAACTGATCCCATGTTTTATCGCAAAATTGTGTTCAGCGATGAGGCTCATTTTTGGCTTAACGGGCCCCATATGGAGTGAAACCAATCCACAACAGACCCTACAGACTCCATTACATCGAGAAAAATGCACCGTTTGGTATGGTTTGCACGCTGGTGGCATTATTGGACCTTATTTCTTCAAAAATAAAGTCGGAGCTCGCGTTACGATCAATGGAGATCGTTACCGCACCATGATCAATGTTTTTTTGTTTGAAAATATGGATGACATTGATCTGGGCGAGATGTGGTTTCAACAGGACGACGCTACGTGCCATACGGCGACCGCAACCATCGACTTATTGAAATCAAAATTTGGCGATAAGTCGATTTCGAGAAATGGACGACATGCCAATTGGCCTCCAAGGTCGTGCGATTTGACACCTCTCGATTATTTCCTGTGGGGCCACGTGAAGTCATTGGTTTATGCTGATAAAACAACAACAATTGACACCTTGGAGACCAACATTGTTCGTGTTATTCGTGACATACGGCCAGCAATGCTCGAAAAAGTGGCCCAAAATTGGACTTCCAGATTGCGCTTCGTCAAGAACAGCCGCGGTGCCCATATACCCAAAATCATTTTTAAATGTTAAATGCCCTAAATTGATCTTTCGAACAAGAACATTTTTTGGTTTAAAATTTAATTTCTTGTATTACTTTTTTCAATTTAAAGTTCTATCGGTCTTAAAAAAACACCCGTTACAAGCTCTACATCGCCGCAGAAAAGATCTTTTTACTAGTCGTGTAAATCTCCTTGCATTTATTTCGTCTGCTGCTGTATAAATATTTGTATTGCGGTTCGGCAAGATTTTCAATCGGTTTTGAATACACTTTTTCTTTGATGTAACCCCAATAAAAAAAATCGAGAGGATTTAGGTCGGAAAAACAAGGAGGCCTCGTAATCGAACCACGGCGCCCACCCAATCCATCTTTCGGGATATTTGTATTCAAGTAATCCCGTACATGACGAGCATAATGAGCTAGGCAATCATCTTGTAGAAACCACATTTCTCCGTAGATATTGAGTGGCACATCTTCCAAAGTTGGTAAATTATTTAGGAGGAAATACAAATGGCATAGGAAAGTATGAATTTTTTAAATAACCGGTTTTTTGCAAAAAGACAGGTTATTTAAAATTTAAAATATCAATAAAATTTTATCGATGTTTTATTTGTGACTTCTAGAGTAGCATAGTTAATAAGGATTACATTATTAAAAAAATGGCTATTAAATTTCGAACATTTCTGACCGTAGTGCCTAAAGATATGATCTACGGGAACGATTTTTAACATTTTCAAAAATATGTCTATTATCACTTCAGCGAGAAAGATGGAATTTTTTTCTTGCTTTTAGCAGAACAGGTATGGGTTGACCTCTCACGCGGTACCCGCTTGACGTTGAGTTTCGGGACACTTGTATAATAAAAATAAACATTAAATGCTTTAATTTTACGCAGACTGTCTTTCTAGGGTTAATAAAGGTTAGTGCTAAACATATTAATGGGAAATGTGGTATTACGTGTAAATTGTTATCATACATTAAGAGTTAATTCAAGTAGGAGATNCGTTCGTGCGATTCGACGCAGTGTTTAAGGTTTTTCCAATCATTGAATCCTTTATTTGCGCAAAAGGATGTGGCTGCTTTGGATAATAAACGACAAGGCCCACAGTAAATACTACCATTTTTTTCAGAATACATTATCCATTGTCGATTTGAAACTTCACCATTTTGAAGCTCTCTTTTAAAAATTGATGAACTCATAAGACGTGTTTGGTCATTGTAGACTCTTTTAGAATTTTGATAACAAAGTCTATGAGTTCATCATTAATAATCCACTTTGCAGGATCTTTCTCAAATTGAAAAGTTGGAGGCAGAAATAGCGGATCCTTCTTCTCCTGTCGTTCATCACTGTTTTCTGGAACATCTTCATCTGCAGACGAGGTCAACAAAACACCAGTCTCCTTTGATGCACAAGGTACATTATCTGCGAATGTTTCAATTGGTGGTTCCGGAATACTCTTGCTGAAGAAAGAATCAATTATTGTAGTTCTTTTCAAGATTTCGGTTTGTTTTTTTTACTTCTCCTCTGCCCTTTTTTTGTATTCCCATCCGCCTAAACGCTTTCTACCATCTGCCATTTGTACGTAATCTATAACACTATTGTTATTTAAAATAAAAATGCGTTAAATTTTAATATACTTACAAGTGCTGCGATCTCAAAAAATCAATAAAATAAAAGGCCTGTAGTAATCGAGACTATTCTATTATCTGTAATATGGTTCACTAACTTTAAAGATCACTTTAAATAGCTCAATTATGCAGTGAATTATTTTAAATTAATTTTTATATAAAAATCTGCAGAATAAAGTCGCTAAGTGTATCATGTATGATCCTGCTTTGCGATAAAACAAGGATTAAAGGAGAAGCAATATTATATCGATGATTTTTAAGAGAAAAATAACCGGCCGACGCGGCTCTACGTCGCCACATTCTGCCACAAAGCCGACGCGTCGTATTGTGGCGCCGCGCCGTGCGAAACTACAGAAAATTTTTTTTTCTGTAGTTTCGATAGCAACACCCTTAAAGTTGTAGTGAAAATTAAGATAATAATGTTTTCAAGTGACTATACCAAGGACAGTAGAATCTAACAGGACTGCTACATCCATTGTTAGATCCTACTGTCCTTGGAATATACTATTTTTTCGATCACAGTCATAGTTTAGGTAGAATTTGGCACAAGTATAGACTTGCAAATTCTTATAAATATTGTGTTATCACAAGCAGAGAGTAACAGATTAGATTTTTTTTTATAAACACTATAAATAGTCCAAGATAACTGCCCCAAGAAACACCAAATGTGATGAGTTGGGTTCAATCAGATAAAATTCTACCTATTTTGATTGTCTGACTTCTATACCACAGATGCGAATAGATTGTTGAATAGATTACCATTTAAAATATTAAAGAAGGAACATTTGTTGTTCCAATTGTGAATAACGCGCTATCTATTGCCGATTGAGTGTTATTGTCAGTCGCGTTCTGGTAAAAGAATATTTGATATTTTTCTAGTGTCCATTTTTATCAAAACTGGGTTGAATGCCGACATTGTTAGATTGTATTTAATAGGCTCTATGCTCTTAGATCCTCTTGTTGATGACAGGGTAACCATTGAGTTATGGTTTAGCTAATCTTCTCATAAAAATTATAACCCTCTGATAATTTAAATCTACTTACTTTTAGAATCATTAATCTTTTCCATAAATCTCAAAGGATAAATCCTGATGATTTGAATTTTAACACCACCAATCATCCCACCATCCGGTTTAATTGATTGCAATGGTATCAAAAATGGTTTTGGACATTTCTGATATCCTAATTTTGAATACCAAGGTGCTTTTCTTGTCGAGTTGTAACAAATCCTTAATTTCACATTCGCTGGGACCTAAAAAAAAGTGTTATTCTCCCATTTTATAATGAGTTTGTTGTAATATACCTCAAGTGGATGACATCCCTCGCAATTTAATAACGTAACCCCAGTCGTAACAATTTTTGTACCAACCTTAATTTTTCCCTTTCCAACTTCAAAATTTAACGCTCTATCGATTAAGGCGGGTATACTATACCAACCATCGGTTAATTCAATTTTATTATTATTTATATTCTTAAATTTAATTATATTATAATCGACTTCAAAAAATCTATTAAAACACGTAATACTTACTTCTACACTAGATACACACCAAACGATTCTTTTTTGGGAAACATCATCTTTTTCTAAAATCCTTCTTAAAGCAGGTCTTTCAGCTTTGTCAATTTCCCTATCATATCTATACTTCAATTGTTGTACAACATTTTCAACATTTAAGCTCCCACCCAAATGAGTACTTAAAAATCTTTCGTAACTTGCTAGTTTCCAAATTATCCATTTGTAATGATTTGCAATCCAACCGTTTGGAATTAATTTAGGATCAACACCACTCATAGTTTTAAAAGCTATTTCAATTTCTGGAAAACCGATGATGTTATGGACGTTTGGTACAATTAATGCGCCGTCTAACGTTGTATAAACGTTCATTGCAGAATTTTCAGAAGATCTTAAAATATTTTATGTTTTATTTAGTTTATGAATAAAAAGTTTATTATAAAAATTACCTTGTAAATGTAAAATGAATACTTCCTGCGTTCTGTGGTGTTATTGCTAAGATTAATTCAGGAATGTTGTTGGGGGATGACGAATTTGGTTTTAGATCTTTTAGTTGGAGTTTTATATGTTCTTTGTTTCTGATTAATATTCCAGGTTGTGGGCTAAGAAAATACGACAAATTCAATAACAGTTTATTAATTTATTGTATAAACTTACCTAATATTTTCCATGCTATGCTTTTCCAGCGATTCTTTCTGAAAATTTAAATAAGTCTTCTTTTCTTCCAACTCATTAAGTTGAATTTTCATCCATTCAATTTTATTATCAATTAAACTAAACCAATCGTCAATCCCACCTTTCATTTCTTCGCAAAGTAAAACAGATGGTGTTACATTTTCTGAAGAATTTTGTGGTTTCATCGAAAATGATGAAATATGATGATTTGAAATTGTAGGCGACTGTGACGATGGCGACATCAAAGAAGTACGTTGTGATGATTTAGCTTCCCTTATACTTTCTTTTAAATCTTTAACGCTCATCTTTAAATCGTCTTGAAACAATAGCTTTGCGCGTTCTATTTTTTCATTGGGAATATTTATTTGATTAAATCGAGACATCCCAAATCGTTTTCGAGAAACGGAAAAGCGAGGTTTTTTATTTTTATTATCAATCGTTTGTATGGCATTATTTACAGTTGCGTAAACATCCTCTAATAATTGAAAAGTCTTTTTTGATTGAGTCGAGTGTGTTGTAGAAACGTTCGAGCTAGAATTACGTTTTATCACGTCGATTTCTTCTGATGGATGTATTTTATCGATTGTTGTATTTTCTGAACTTGGGACGAAATCGCCCATACAAAAATTATGATTATCAGAATTACGATGACATATTTGAGCAGCGGTTAAACTTTCTGTTTCTTGAATTGTCTCGTTTTTAACAAAATCACCAGCTTGAAAAGATAAATCGCCAAACATTGTTGTTGTTTTTGGAGAATTTTGAGGATTTAAGGAGTTTGTGGAAACATTAACTGTTGGTTGTAATTGTTGGCTACATTCTTGTTTTGATACAATCGACTCATTTTGGTCGGTTTCTATGCTTTCAAACAGTTTTTTAGCGTTACCCATAGCTTTTTCTGATACATTAATAACTTTACCTGAAGCGCATAAGAATCCACAATTTCTCATATCAAATATGGGTCTATCTTGTACATCTTCAATATTTGTTTTTTCTATAACTAGTATGTCATATAATTGTTGAGATTTATTTACTGTATTTTTTGATGAATTTACATCTTTCTCTAAGTGGTTATTATTTATATTATTTGAATATAAATTATCAATGTTTTCAAAACATTTTTTAGATGTATTCAAAGTTTTTTCGGAAATTTGTGTTTGTTTACCATTTGCAGTTTTAAATCTTAAATCTATTTCTTTTTGTGGCACCTCAGCAATATCATCGCCTTCAAATGTATCATTATACATTCCTTTTGCTTTTTGTAATGCTTTCTCAGAGAATTTGATATCTTTTCCGCCAGCAGTTTTAAATCCACCGGATTGTTTTGCAGTTTGAATATTTTCTGATTCATTCTGCTTTTTATTTTTTACTTTCCCAAAACATTTAACGTTCTCTTCGGTTTCTTGGTCTGTACTATCATATATTTGTTTAGCTTTTTTCAAGGCTTTTTCTGAAAACTTAATATTTCTCCCACCAGCTGTTTGAAATCCAGCAAAGGTAATAGATTGTGGATTTTTAAATTCGCCACAATTTACAGATTCGTTTGGATATTGAAACGATTCCTGTCTATCCGTTTTATTTTTAAGGTCTTGAGCGGCTCCGTCATACATTTCCTTAGCTTTCTTCATCGCTTTTTCAGATATATTCATTGCTTTCCCTCCAGCTGTTTTAAATCCACCCTTATTTATCGATTCTTTTTGGAAAGATTCTTGATTACAAACTTTATTTTCAGCAACATTTATATTTTCATATGTTTCATCATGTATTTCTTTACCTCTTTTTAAAACTTTCTCAGAAAATTTTATATCTTTCTCTCCAGCACTTTTGAATCCACCAAAATCAACAAAATCTTTAGGAGGTTGTAAAGATTCCTTGAAAAGTAGGAAAAAAAGAATTTAAATTATAACAAAAAGTTTCCTAGTATTAAATACAAAAATATTTCGTATATATATATCAGGTTTTTTAATAAAATTTTTTTTTCATCTATTCTTCCATAACTATTTAAATTAGTATCAATAATTAGTAATTAGTGTCAATATAATATTACTCGAACAGTAAAAATATGAGATATAATAAAGTCAACTTGAACAACAAATTTAATATAGTTTATATAATCCAGAATAAAGTCCAGAAAAATATGAATGCTTTTTGGCTAAATAATATCAATTTGGCAATCAATTAACATGTAAATAATGTTAGAGATAATGCACAAGGCGGCAACACCACGCATACCAGCCTAGTATGCCGTTTAAGTATTATGGATAAATTGCTAAATAAAAATAGGGCTCACCAGCCTACTACGCCGCCACCAGAAACATTAAATAAAATAGAGAACCTTGCAGATTTTATAAAAAACCTTGACCCAAACATGGAACGAAGTTCTAATGATTATGTGTAATACCTTTGCCTGTTACAAAACTTTATACCAAGAAGAAAAGCAGTCTAGTCTTATTCAGGTAACAATACATTCATTTTTAACAAAAGCCTTTTGAAAAATAATTAAATATTACACACCATGATTTTATAAATTGTTTGTTTACATATTAAAATGAAATATAAGTTTGTAGTTTTATTTGAACCTGCTTTCCATTTCTTTTATTCCAATCAACAAGTTACTAAACTGTGATCCTTTCTAGTTCTGGTAATCTATGTTAATGCGGAGGCGTTTTAAAATATCTGGTACGTATCTGGAAAAGTACGTTAAACGAGCGCTGACTGTATACGGATTTTAATGAAGCCTTTGACAGAGTGGATCACGGAATACTTTTGTCTAAACTACGAGAAATGAAAATAGACACTGGACTGTTAGAGTGCATCCAGTCATATATAATAAGAAGAACTTAGATCTTGACCGTTGGAAAGGTTAAAGTCCCTCAACCTGTTTAAGCCTCTTTTATAACCATTTTTATAATAACACAATTTCCTGCTTTCACTTTTTACAATGTATTCTAAAATGCTAACGAATTAAAAAATGTTTCTACAAGTTGATAATTTTTATAATTGCATCCAGCTCGATCATAATATTTATTGTATTCATAGCAGCCTAACACTAAATTTGGATAAGTTTAACGTAATAAGTAATAACATTTACTAAAAAGACAATGTATTGAATCGATAAGAAAAGTGACTGAACAAAAAGATTTAGGTGATATACTAAACCAGAAATATTAGTTTACTGTATAGTGTATACAGTCAGGGTAATAAGTAGGGGTTACGATATGTTGGGATTTGTACTAAGCATCCTGCATATCTACTCAGCATCGTAATGCATATCAGTACCACATAGATAAACTCGAGAATATTCAAAGAAATTAAACCGAGATTGAAAATTAAATAAAGGTGTTAGTATTTTCATTCTTTATAACTTACTTGTGTTAGCATTATGTTAGGTAATGATGTAGAAAAAATGGTTAATCAAAAAAGATTATTTAATTTTCTGTTAGTATTTGGGGATTAAAAAGCATAAAATGGGATATACAGGGTGGAGTTATTAGTATCCCGGCGGACGATAGTTACCAAACCGTTTGGCCCGATCTTACAAAACAGTTTATACCGCTCCGTATACCAAGAATAACTAAATGTTGGTATAAACACTAGAATAAACGTCTTACAATAACGGCGTATAGCATAAGTAACGGTATACGGTGCAGGATAGCTATACCGTATAATTCAACGCGCATAGCTTATACTAGGAATAAGTCAGAGACTGTTTGACATTGATTATAATGAATCAGACGTAATACTTATTGTATGAATAACACGTAATGCTGATTTTCAACTTAAAATTTGTGAGACATCCAAAAATAAGTTAAATTTACGAAAAAAACTAAGGGTGATGAAAATTTTTCATTATTTTTTCCGGATTCAGCACCCAAAAATCAATGAAGATCGCCTTTCAGTTTCAAAAAAGGTTTTTGATCGCAGGCCTGAGTAATTAAAACTAGAACTAATACTACACTTAGAACTAGAAACATTCGGATTTAGCCATATGTCTCTTAAGACGTCTAAACTCTAATGGTTCTAGTTCTAGTATTAGTTCTACATTAATAACTATAAAACTAGAACTAACACTAGACCTAGAACTAGAAACATTCGGATTTACCCGTCTTAAGAGACGTACAGCTAACCCAAATGTTTCTAGTTCTAGATCTAGTGTTAGTTCTAGTTTTACACTAGCACTGTTACTATGTAGAACTATTAACACCACAACTTAAAAATATTTTGTTCACATTCATATTCGTAAGGACGTAAAATGAAAATAAAAACAGAGTAATGGTAAACACCGCTGATCAATTTGATAGTCGCTAAACGTAAACAACATAAACAAACCACATGCGCGTTATACCCACAGTATTACCAACCATTGGTATAACTATTCTGGCATAAGAAAGCCTTTATAAGACGCATTCGTTAAATAAATGCCGAGAATAAATTATTCTGGGACTAATTAATTATTCTGATTATACCAACACTTGTAAGATCGGCCCTAAGACACAGGGTGTTCCATGTAGGCGTAACGGAGAGTATGTAAATTTTTTTAAATGGAATACCTTGTTTATTTAATCATATTATGAATACATATTTGTTTATAAAACCGTACATGTTACTAACTCATAGCGTTCATAGTTCCTGAGGTATTCAGTTGTTCTTCCAAAATGTACCCATTGCAGGATCTTTTTAAAAACTATGTAAAAACGACATTTTTTCCAATTTTGCCTTGAAACTATGTCAGATAATAGTCAAAGCGTAGTGCAGATAGTTGATAGTATCCAAAGATATTAGGTACACATCAGTATCTTTTTCAAATGGCTTTTTCATAAGTTTTTTAAATGGAATACAGGGTATATTTTGAGCTGGTTGAATTGTCCATCAAGTTCCCTTTAATAAGTTCTATAATCAACAAGTTATTATCGTCAAAATTAGTAGCAATATTTATCTAGCTCTCGACCATGAGTTATAATTACAGCAAAGAAGAATTAATTAATATGATCTACATCTATCGCGAAGACGACAGAAATGCACTACTAGCCTCCAGAATATATGCTCAACGATATCCGGATAGACGGCATCCTCAACCAAGTATTACAAACAGGGTTCGGCTGCAATTTGAAGAAACAGGTAATATTAATTATCAGCACAAAAGTAGAACTAAAACGGCAACCAACGAAGAAAACGAATTTCTGTATTAGCAAGCATTATAGAGGACCCGTGCACTAGTACTAGAAAAATTAAAAATAATCTGGGACTAAGCCAATTATCAAAATAATGTCTAAAATAATAAAAAGACAGATATCATCCGTATCATGTGCATCTTGTTCAGGAAATAAGCAAAAATGATTTTCAGGCGAGATTACGTTTTTGTAATTGGGCCTTTGCACAAATTCAACAAGATGCAAATTATTTCGATTGTGCTTTTTACGGATGAGGCAACATTTCATAAAAATGATTGTGTTCACAATTTCATCACAATTTCCATTATTATACAACGAAAAATATTATAGTATTATTAGACCCTTAGATCATAAACACAGATGGTCTATAAATGTGTATGGAGGAATAGTAGATACGCATTTACTAGGGCTGTATTTTTGTGAATATTTGGTCAATGGAGAAACATACTTACATTTTTTCACTAACCAAATACACGAATATTTGGACAATGTACCGTTGAATATTGGTTAAATTTAGTTGGGTGTGCCCCAGCACAACGAAATGTGAGACGGTATTTAGATACACAATATCACAACAGATGGATTGGAAGAGGAGGTCCTTATTATGGCCACCAAGGTCTTCAGACCACAACAAATTAGATGTCTTTTTCTGGGGATATGTGAAGGAGCTGGTATACCAAACGGCACCCACTGCATCAGAAGATTTGAAGCTTCGTATAACTAATGTTTTTAACGACCTTAGAGAAAATAAGAAGTACATGTTAACAGATAGACCTCAAGATCTTTTATACAGCGCATTAATGCTTGTTGAAGAGAAAATGGGCGGCATTTTGAACAACTTCTAAATACTAATTAAATTAATACCTACTTTTTGAGCAACGTTTAGTAATTGTTTATAGTTTGTTGCTGCATTTCCTTCAAATAATTTACTAATTAAAAAAGGAATTTATTGTTCTGCCATTTAATTGTATTTTTATCACATTTTGATTATTTATTTATTAAAGTTTTTTTTTAATTGTATTTTACTTTTTACTATTGTACTTTAATATAATATTACTGATTTACAAATGACAGACAAAAACAGAAAAACAAAAAAAGACAAAATGTAGAACTATTAAGAACAATAATGACATATTTCATTACACATTTTTTTCAAATTCTAAATATCAGAAAAACTATTAAAGTGAGACATATGACATACTTATCATTAATTAAAGGGAACTTGATACGTAATTCAACCAGCACACAATATACAGAATGTTCCACATGAAAAACATCAAAAATAACTAAGCTTTATAAATACTCTGTGTAGTGTATCTAATATATTTGGATACTATCATCTACCTACGGGCTTTGACTATTATGTGACATAGTTTCAAGGGAAAATCGGAAAAAATGTCGTTTTTACATTGTTTTTAAAAAGATCCTGCAATGGGTACATTTTGGAAGAACAACTGAACATCTCAGGAATTATGAACGCTGTGAAATAATAACATATACGGTTGTATAAACAAATTCAGTTATATTTATAATATGATAAAATATACGGGATGTTCCATTAAAAAAAAATTTCGTACTCTCCGTTACGCTTAAATGAAACACTGTGAAAATAATTTTACGTAATAGAAAGTGATGAGTCAAAGAACTTTTGTATAAAACATCTTTTTCTTTTTCAAACGGTTTAGTGACTATCAACCGCTGGGATACTAATAACTAATAACTCATCCTGTATAGTTTTAGTTGTTTTCAGACCAAAAAGTATCTACAACGCGATGTGAGTATTTCACGGTTGCCCACAACACGTTGTGGCTATTCAATGTTTACTCAATTTGTAAACCATCGTAGGCAAAGTGTTCTTTCTAACCGAAGTACAACAAAAGTTTATTAAGATAAAATGATCTCTTATTAAATTATAGCAATATGCCAAATTTTTATTTCTCCATGAAAAGAAAATTTTAAATGTTCTGGTGAGGCTACTCCTTGAAAAGTTAGCTCCACAAGTCAAAATAAGAAGGTTACAAAGAAAAGTTGCATCGCTGCAAAAGCTTCTACACAAAATATTTTAGTAAATCTTATTATTAATGAAATGGTTACGAAACACAAGAATTTTTGATGAAAGTAGATTTTATGAAGGAGTAAACCTTATAAGTAATGATAGTTACCACATTTCATTGGCAAAGAATGCTTTGGTTTTTATAGAACGGCGACTGGAAAGTACCAGCTGCTTATTTTCTTATTAAAAGTCTGAAAGGCCCAAAAGTGTCAATTTATTAAAAACAGCCTTGGAACTATTACATGATACTTAATTAGTTCCGTTGCATTCATTAATTGGAACAATTTTTAATTTTTCGAAAAGTTTGGGTTTAGTAATCTATAACAAGGAGGTATATTTATTTTTTTGAATGTTTGTAGAAATAAATCGTGTTTGTATTTAAAACAATTGCTTAAATGTAATTCTAAATGCCACAACAGTAAACCATATAAAAATGAATAAACATGTTAATATAGCACTTACTTCTTTTTAATTTTTATAATAAAAAAAATTAAAAATTTTAAATTAAACAATAATAAGTTAAAAAAACAATTTATACGTCCACACGGTCCACACTATACATATAAATATTACGACATGTTATCCTGGGCGGTGGCGTAGCGAACATAACTGGCGCCCGGGGCACGACATTGTATTGGCGCCCCCTCCAGAAAAGATATAAAAATTATCCGAAATATTTTGTATGTGTTGGAGATTATTTGTCTTGGGAGTACAAGAGGCAGTTCATTAATTCTTGCATGTTTACTAAAGATGTAAAACGACGTTGACCAAGAGACATAGATAGACCTCTATCTACAAAAGTGCGTACACAACAAAATCTATGTAACTTCTTCATTGAAAGCAAAAACATCAGAATCTGTAACTTATTTTTTATAAACACTTCAGCGAAACTTTCACACTTTGACACTTTCATCAGCGAAAATTTCTTTATAACGCTCTAAAAAAGAATTCTACATTTAATATGTCAGTACCTGATCAAAGAGGTAGAAAAGTACCTGTCAATAAAATTTCTGATGAAGTTAATGAAAAAATCACTAAGCACATTGACAGCAACCCTACGTATGAAAGCCATTATTCTCGAGAAAGGTCTACCAAGAAGTATCTTGGAGATAGCTTAAATATTTAAAAAAACGTATGGGTTATATTGTGAAGAACTTAGGAAGGAAGGTGAAGAACCAGCTAAGAACTGGCTTTTTAGAAAAATCTTCAACGAAATGTTTAATTTGTCGTTCCATTTACCAGACAACAACACATGTGATATGTGCGATTATTTTAATGTAAAGCTTAAGGCTGATCGTAGCGTAGAAGGATCACAAGAAATTTCTAAAGATCGAGATTTACATTTAGATGATGCAAATAATAGATATCTAATGAAAAATGAAGACAAGAAATGTGCTTTAGAGACAAATGAAAATTTACCAGTGGTAATGGCCGATCTTCAAAAATGCCTTCCTACTCTCTTTTTGGCCAATTCGGCGGAGAGCTTTTATCTTCGAAAGTTGTGGACCCTAAATTACACAACACATAATTCTTGTACTAAAAAAACACTTGGTGTATGATGTGGGATGAAATTAAAGCTGGAAGAGGTGGTAATGAAATGGCTTCTTGTTTTTTTAAATGTCTACTTGTAGAAATCCCAAGGAATCAAAAAATGGAAACATTAACACTTTGGACTGTCAACTGTGCCGGACAAAACCGAAATATGATGATGATTGTAGTGTACATGTATGCAATGCAAGTATTTCCCAGAATTGAGGTTATAAATCATAAATTTTGCTGAATAACCGGATATGCTGTATATCCGGCCATTATGGTTATAATTTCTGGTGCATTTCTGATACATTGCCACATTATTGCGATATGGTAGGTTGTTTAATATCACTTTAAATATTACATTAAGGTTTTGTATATAATAATTATATGGTGCAACTTTATTGGGTTTGTCCTGTTATTGCTCCCCAAAATAAATAAATAAATATCCGGCCAAAGCCGGATTAAATATTTGGTAACTATCCGGTATTCAGCCGGATATTTGGTAACTATCCGGTATCCAGCCGGATGGCCGGATAACGGATAGTTGCCGGATATTCGTTCCACCACTAATTGTCAGCATAGCGTTATGGAACGTGCGAAAAAGAAAACTAAACGATTTACAATTTTTACTTACATTATTTTTATTCGTAATTTATTGTACACAACCCCCATTTAATGTATTCTCTATGGGTCTAGAATCTAGAAGATTTTAGTACATTTTATTCATCATTCGACGAGAAACATTAGGTACTTTGTTTTTTAAAACATCATTTAATGAAGACTTTCGCTCCATTAATTTATACAGGGTCATCCACGACGACCGTCCATTAGAACTTTACAGGGTTCTGGCCAATACAAAAATTTGAAAGTTCAGATTTAAGTATTATTAATTAAGTAAAGTGACCAAACGTTCTAGACAGCCATACTCGGCACCAAAACATACTCCATCATGTTGCTTAAGCATGTTCTGAATCCTAAATTGATATCCCAAAAATCGAGTGTTCTCTGATTGTTTGATCAAATGTCTGTTGGAGCAGATTTTTCTAGAAAAATTCGAATAACTCGAGAACGGCCGAATCAAATTGCAAAAAGTAAAGTCATTCATAAACCTTGAAAACAGGCAAATCCAAATATGTAAAAATATACAGGATGTTCCATTTAAAAAAATAAAGTAGGTGGCGACTTCCGGTATAATCGTAAGTGCTAGAAATCTGAAAATATTTTAGTCGAAGAGAACGCAATTGATAATGATTGGTCGTCGTGGATAACCCTGTATAGAAACCTTTGAAAACCTTCAAACATACCAAAAAATTTGCCCCAATTAAGACATTCTAGAAAACCTATAAGTAAAGCCAAATATGAAAATCTTTTAACCCTTCTTAAGTGGGTTCCTGAAGAATATCATGATTACTTTAGGAATTTATCTTACGCTAAACAGGCCTCAAAATTTCCTAATGATTAATAAATTAATAAATGAATGTATTAGTTAAGTTAAAAATCAGACATTTTCGGCTATTCTACGATTAAGTCATTTTGGACTTATGTCCCTTTAGCTCTCAAGTACAGAAATAATGGGCGTTCGAAGTGCCATTCGAACCAGTTTCTGAAGAAGGTTGCAACATGGAATCCGAAACGTCAAACCTTTTCTTAAAAGACGCACCCGAAAGTTTCTAGTGTTAGTTCTAGTTTTAGTTCTAATTTTAATTCAACTACTTTTATTGTTAACTAAAAAATAAATTTACTTACATTTGTTTTATTTTCCAGATGTGTTTCATGTGTTCCTTCATACATTTGTTTAGCTTTCTTCAAAGCTTTTTCAGAAAAATGTATCAGTTTTCCCCCGGCCGTTTTAAATCCACCAAAATTCGTAGATTCTTGATTATTATTTATTTTATTCTCAACAACATTCGAATCTTGATACGTTTTCTCATACATTTCTTTAGCATTATTTAATGCCTTTTCAGAACATTTTATATCTTTCCCTCCAGCAGTTTTAAACCCATCAAATTGTATTGGCTCCATGGAAAAATGAAAACCCTCTTGATTCTCACTATGTACATCATCACCATATTTTTTACTTTTTCCCCTACTAGGAGGTAGAGGACATTTAAACACTTCCGCATCATCTTTTTTTTCGGCTAAATTCATATCGGATTTTCGAATATCCCTATACAGTTTTTGTGCTTTATTTATAAATTTTTTAATTAATTTTCCTTTGGGTTCATGTTCTTGAGAGATACTTTTAGGGGAATTAGGTTTGGATGAATCATTTGTGTTTGGGGGCGTTTCGGAATCGCCGTTACAACTTATATTAATACGGAATTTGCTGTTGCAATCGATTTCAATTTTAAATTTCTTTTGATTTGGTGCTAATTCTATGGTTTGATTGCCATTTTTTAGTTCATTTTTAACGGGGATGGATTCATTTGGTCCTTTTCGTTTTTTATTACTTCCCGAACACACAGATTTTTTATCATCGTTATCTTTTCTGTTTGGTGAAAGATGTAGATTCATATTTTTTGGTTTAGATTCAGTTTCTTTTTGATTCGAAGTAGAATCATTTTTTAATTTATCATTTTTAACTTTGTTGTCTTTTTTTTGTGATCTTACAAAGTCATCGTATTTAACTTCATTAATATTCTTTAATTTTTTTTCATTTCTCTTTTTATCTACTTTAAGTTGTTCTTCAGCTTTTTGAATAGCTTCCGTTAGTTTTATGTAAGCTTTATTAGATTCTTCTTGATCGTTTTGATTAAAGCCCAAAAAGTTATCTGAATGTTTTTTACTTTTTGAATTTTTCCTCGATGCAATATAACTATCAACTGAGTCATTTGATGGATTAAAATTAGTGTTCCGATGTAACTCAACAATACTCGTTGGTTTCATTGTAACGATTACACAATTTTTTGATGTTGCAGCATCGATATTGACTTTATCACCGGGACCAAGTGATACAGGTATTGTATCTTCTTGTTTTAGTTGTGATTTTTTCGATGATAAACTTGAAAGTTTTTTAATAAGTTTTTCTTCATTAGAATCGAATTTGATAAACTCGTCATCTGGGCTTGAAGATGTCGATTGTTTACCAAACATTTTATTACTAAAGATTTTATTTAAATCTTGATCTGTGTGTATTTCCGATGAAGTTGTGTCCTCACTTTCAGATATTGTTGAATAATTATCACTCTCGTTTGGAATATCTTCGTAACAATCGACTTGAATTTCCTCGAAAGTACTTCTCGTTGTTTTCATTTTTATAACATTCTTGGTTTGTTGTTGATTTAGTATTGGAATTTTTGAAAGATTGTTTTTAGTAGATGTAGGATTTTTTAATACTAAAGGATAAATTAAAAAAAACATTTTTGGTATAATTCAAGAATCATTTTGTCGCTTAAAAATCCACATTTTTTTTAATCTTCGGAAAATCACTATGTAAAACTTATCGAAAAATCACTTTTCGACGTGACGTCTTCGATCGTGCTAAGTGTATATGGTACACTTAACTGCAAAATTAACGCACCACTTATATATTTCGATTTATTATAATTAAAGTTAAAATTATCATACATTTTGAAAAACATATTAAGAATAGAATACTTAAACGAAAACTGAAAATAAACAAAATCATGTAAAATGATATTATTGTTACGAACACAAAGAACTTCTTTTGAACCATATTTAGGTTATCAGTAAGTAGTGTTACCACCTCTGGCTGTTATTGTAGCCTGACATCGTCGTGGCATACTTTCCATTAGAGATCTGATGGTTTCTTGAGGGATATCTTCCCATACGCGAATAAGACTTTATCGCAGCTCGTCTAAGCTGTTAGGTGGTGGATGCTGGCTTCTAATCTTCAGTCCCATTATGTCCCAAAGATGCTCGATTGGGTTCAGGTCTGGACTACAGGCTGGCTACTCGAGGACTTGAATATTAACATAATTTAAATATTCAGTAACAATATGTACCGCATGTGGCCTCGCATTATCCTGCATGAGAATAAACCCATCGCCAATGTAAGGTGCAAAAGGTATCACAAAAGGTTCTAAACTGTCTGTTATGTATCGTTCAGAATTTGGACGTCCACCATCAACGATAAAAAGTTCCGTGCGAGCTGTTAAAGATATTCCACCACATACCATCACTGAACCGCCTCCGTATAATGTGGTTTCTCGAATGTAACATGTGGAATATCTTTCATTTGGTCTTCTGTACCCTCTTGGACAACGATCAGAACTTACAAGGCAAAACAGTGACTCATCCGTAAATAACACCTGCTCCCAATGATGGATTTCCCAATCCACGTGCCTTCTTCCAAAAGCCAATCTGTTATTATCTGCAAACTACCGAAGAGGTTTGCAGATAATCTGGGACCAGTAGTTGCTGCCCGAGGTAGTAAATTTTGAGTACAAAGTCTTCTTCTTATGGTATCTTGACTAACAGCAGTGCCATGAACCTCGCTTAGTTGTATTTGGAGGCTTCGTGCAGTAGTGAACCGTTCCCGAAGTGCTCGAAGCATCAAAAATCGATCCTCCACTGCATTTGTAGCTCGTGACCTGCTTTGGCCACGTCGCGTCGTCTAGCATAATCGTTGGTCTCTACAAATCTCTGCAGAACCCTACCGACCGTTGAACACATTCATCACGATTTAAATTGCACGAATGACAGTTATCTTATCAATAATTGGTAAAACAATTAAAAAACAATGCCTACTTTTACTTTAGAAGTGAGAGGTCAGATATGGGAAAGGAGACAGAGACAACTATTATAGAAGAGCGGGCTATTCGGTAACTGAGATAAATAGTAGACGAAGGGTGGGTAGGGAGATGTGGAGAGAGTTGAGAGATAGGGACCGAGATGTGCAGAGACAGGAAAGAAGGACACAAATAAAAGAGGGAAGGTATAACGAAAGGTACAGGGACATAATTACGGAGGGGCTGCCTAGATACTTGTTATTGGAAGGAGATGAGGAAGGGAAGAAGTTGGTGGCTAGGTTCCGTTGTGGAAACGAGGAGAGAGCTAACAGATACTGGATGGCCGATGAGGAGAGGTGGTGTAGGCTGTGCAGGGAGGAATGGGAAACGTTGGAACATATGTTGAATGGGTGCAGTGAGTTGAGGGAGGAGGAGATGGACCGAGGGCAGATCTTGGGAGAGGGGGGACAGGGGAAGCGATGGATGAGACGGGTTGTGGGGGTGAGGAGACAAAGGGATGGCGGTGGCGCGGAATAATAGAGATTTTGTATGGATAATGATGTACAATGATGTAAAAATTGTAAACGGTTGTGAAGTTAGCCATAGATTCTAGCCATAGATTTTAAAATCGAAAAATGACCGATTTCTGTAACTCAAAACGCAAATTAAAATTTATATTTGAGTTTAGCACTCTTAGAACAACCCCTATACAAAAATTTGCGGGGGGAGTGTTTTCATTTAAGGGCGTAAAAAAATCCCAAAGTTGTGAACATCGCGTGCTAAAAAAAAAACTTAACCTTCGTGAATAATAGCCCTCATTATATGCTCATATAATAATATACTATTATTGTTTACAATAACCTGTTTACAATTTACGCGTGTGAAGTTGGCCATAGATTTTAAACTGAAAAAAATGCGTGATCGGGGTATTCAATCGATCTAATTTCAACGGCATCGTATTCATGGTCTAACCATTTCTTATTTTCCGGGAAAATCGATTTTCTTCAATCTTTCGCAAAATTCGGCTCGTTCAGGGTTTTTAATCGATCTAATTTCAACGGCATCGTATTCCTGGTGGCCTCTTGCTTCAGATTCGAAAAGAAAATTTTCCTAACCATTTCTTATATTCCTGGGAAATCGTTTTTCTTCAAACAATTGGGTTAGAAATGGTTAGAAAAATTTTATTTTTGAATCTGAAGCAAGAGGCGACCAAAAATACGATGCCGTTGAAATGAAATCGATTTGAAACCCCGAACAGTCCGAAATTTGCGAATGTTTGAAGAAAATCGGTTTTCCGGAAAATAGGAAATGGTTAGGAACATTTTCTTTTTGCATCTGAAGCAAAAGGCCACCAGGAATACGATGCCGTTGAAATTAGATCGATTAGACACCCCGAACAGGCCGAAATATGCGATTGTTTGAAGTAAAGCGATTTTCCCGGAATATAAGAAATGGTTAGGAAAATTTTCTTATTGAATCTGAAGTAAAAGGGTACCAGGAATACGATACCGTTGAAATTAGATCGATTAGAAACCCCGAACATGCCAAAATATGCAATTGTTTGAAGAAAAACGATTTTACAGGAATATAAGAAATGGTTAGGAAAATTTTCTTTTTGAATCTGTAGTAAAAGGGCACCAAGAATACGATGCCGTTGAAATTAGATCGATTAGACACCCCGAACAGGCCGAAATTTGCGATTGTTTGAAGAAAAACGATTTTCCCGGAATATAAGAAATGGTTAGGAAAATTTTCTTTTTCATTCTGATGCAAAAAGCGACCAGGAATATAATGCCGTTGAAATTAGATCAATTATAAACCCCGAACAAGCCAAAATTTGCGAATGTTTGAAGAATATCGGTTTTTTCGAAAAATAGGAAATGATTAGAAACATTTTCTGTTCCGATTTAAAGCAAGAGGCGACCTGGAATACGATACCGTTGAAATCAGATCGATTAGAAACCCCGAACCGAATCGGCCGAAATTTGCGAATGTTTGAAGAAAATCGATTTTCTCGGCATATAAGGAATGGTTAGAAAATGTTCTTTTCGAATCAGCAGCAAGAAGCGACCAGGAATGTAATGCCGTTGAAATGGGATCGATTAGAAACCCCGAACAGCCCGACATTTGCTTATGTTTGAAGAAAATTAATTTTTCCGGAATATAGGAAATGGTTAAGAAAATTTTCTTTTCGAATCTGAAACAAGAGGCGACCATGAATACGATGCCGTTGAAATTAGATCGATTAAAAACCCCGAACGAGCCGAATTTTGCGAAAGATCGAAGAAAATCGATTTTCCCGGAAAATAAGAAATGGTTAGGAAAATTTTCTTTTCGAATCTGAAGCAAGAGGCCACCAGAGATACTTGATTTAATTAGGT